AGCCTGTTCATGGACGGTACTGTAAAGTGCAAACTACCGTCTACGCCCCCTAGCACCGGCTTAAGCAGAATTCAACATTTAAAATGAATTAGTACAATTTTGAATTTTGTAAGATCCGCAGATGTGTACATATGGCGGTTATCATGGAACCTTCAATGTGACAGTAAGTGCCATTCCATGAAAGCGGCATATGGTCCCAAACTAAAAAAATGCGTGTGCCCTAAACGAGAAAACACTGTGCGGAACTAAATAAAATGGAATGTTGAAAGGGGATCAGAGGTTATGAAGCCTGCATATCACAGATAATACGTCAAAAGACAAATTTAAAAAGCAGGCTACATATCCTAAGGATGATTCAACAGTATTCAAGTTTTGAGTTTGCTTTGGTCTATTGACACCAATCTTGATGTGTGGGTAGTTTATATCAAGAGGCAGCTTTGGATTGTTACTCAGGTGTCTGTCATGCAGGTCAAGGTCACTATTTTAACAGAATTTGGTAATCTGGTGAATTTCCTAACACTTGGAAAAATGCGTTGGTTATTCCTATCCCTAAACATGGAAAAGATTCAACTGACCCTACAAATTATCGCCAAATTTCACTAACAAGTTGCATCTGCAAAACATTCGAGAGAATGATAAATAATCGATTAGTTTGGTATCTAGAAAATAATGGAATTATTACTAATTTTCAGTCAGGTTTTCGTAAACAGCGAAGTACAAACGATCATCTTGTACGCCTTGAAACTTTTATTAGAGAAGCCTTTGTAAATAAACAACACCTGGTATCAATTTTCTTCGATCTTGAGAAGGCTTACGAAACTACTCGGAAATATGGTATTCTAAAAGATCTAAAGGATGCTGGACTTAAAGGCAGACTTCCTCTTTTCATTTCTGGATTTTTAAACGATAGGCACTTTAAAGTAAGACTTGGTTCAACTTTTTCTGAGGATCACCAACAAGAACAAGGTGTTCCACAAGGAAGCATACTTTCTGTTACACTTTTCGGCCTTAAAATAAACAATATTGCTAGCGCTCTTACATCAGGCATAGATTGTTCTCTATATGTAGATGATTTTCTTGCTATCGATCGAAAAGTATGAGAACAATTGAAAGGCAACTTCAACAAAATTTAGATAAAATCCAAAAGTGGGCAATAGAAAATGGTTTTAAATTTTCAAAGTCAAAAACTCAATGTGTTCATTTTTGTCGATTGCGGAAACACCATAATGACCCTGAAATTTACATATCTGGTTCTAAAATTCCAATAGTTGATGAAGCTAAGTTTAAAGGAATTATATTTGACAAAAAACTTTCTTTTATACCACATATTAAATATTTGAAAACTAAATGCCTTAAAGCTTTAAATTTACTAAAGGTTTTATTAAGTACAAATTGGGGATCAAATTCTTCCACATTACTGAAATTATACAGAAGTCTTATCCGATCAAAATTAGATTATGGTTCTATTGTATATGGGTCTGCAAGAAAATCATATCTTCAAATGCTAGATACCATACATCACCAGGGTTTACGGTTAGCTTTAGGTGCATTTCGCACCTCACCTGTAGAAAGTCTATATGTGGAAGCTGGAGAACTATCGCTTCAACTTCGTCGAAAAAAGCTATCACTTCAATATGCAACTAGAATTTCACCAAATAGCAAAAATCCAGCCAAAAATATTATTTTCAAACCAAGTTATATTGAAAAATTTGTTAACAAACCAAAGGAAATTAAACCATTAGGCCTTCGTTTAAAAGATGATTTAGATAAACTTAAAATTAATCCAGACAGTATCCTTCAAAATGATGATGAGGATGTTCCACCTTGGACTTATAATTCCCTCTGAAATAAATATTAACCTTTCAAATAAAAAAAGTCATCAAATTCACATGAACATTTCAAAGAGAAGTTTCTAGCAAGTAAGGAAGAACATGACGATTTTATACATATTTATACGGACGGTTCAAAGGAAGGTTGCAAAGTAATTTTACATCTAGTATGAGGTTTCCAGATAATGCATCATTTTTTTTCTGCTGAAGCCAATGCTATAGATGTAGCATTGTCATACATAGAACAGCATACCCATGATAAATTTGTGATATTTTCTGACTCGCTTTCTGTTTTAATATCCATTAAAAATAAAAAATCTGACAATATCATGATAAAGAAACTTCTTTTACGATTTCATGATATACTTAAAATAAAATCTGTTAAATTATATTGGATTCCAAGTCATGTAGGTATACGAGGAAATGAAAAAGTAGATGCTTAAGCTAAACAATCATTTAGTTTTAAAAAAACTGACATATTGTTACCTGCTTGTGATTTTAGAACGGCTATAAATAAACTCGTTTCATCTGAATGGAAAGCAAATTGGGACAATGCCGTCTTTAATAAACTTCATGATACAAACCCATCTTTTGATGTGTCACCATCTCTGTCTTTGTCAAACCGCCATGATCAAACAGTTCTTCTTCGATGCCGAAGTGGACACACTAAAGTTACCCATTCTTATCTCCTCACGAATGACAATGCCCCTTTCTGTGTAGCTTGCAATGAAAATTTTACTGTCAATCATTTTCTTCTGGAATGTCATGATTTTTCACAGGCCCGTAATAGATTTTATAATGTAAGTTTACTTAAAGAACTCTTTAATACAATTCCATCAAAAAACATCATCGATTATTTGAAAGAGATAAACTTGTATTCAAGGATCTAATTGGCTCTCTTTTATTATCATTTACAATTTTTTACATAATAGTTTAAGCTTATTATAGCATTCGGCACGATATGGCCATTTATGTGTTGACGTGCCGTAAAATCCAAACAAACAAACAAACAAGGTCACTATTACTAAAAATAGAAATTCAGTTACCGCTCAATAACTTGAGTTTGCTTTGGCCTAATGACACCAAACTTGGTGTGTAGGTAGCTTATATCAAGTGGCAGCTTGGGTCATTGAGCTCAATAACTTGAATTTACGAAGACCAAACTTGTTGCGTTCATTGAACGCCGCCTTTCCTTGTTGATCTTGTTTATCATATTTGATGTATATCACTGACGGTATACGGTTACACTGATTAAGGTTAAGATCACTTAATTGTTAAACATAGAAATTCATTCAGTTTTTGCTCAATAACTTTAGTAAGTTGTAACCTATTGACAGCAAATTTGGTGTATTGGTAGCCTATATCAGGACGAAACTTGGGATTGCTACCCAGGTGTATGTGATGAAGGTCTATGTGTATGCTGCTCAAAATAGAAATTCAGTCAAAATAACTTGAGTTTGCTAAGACCTATTGACACCAAATTTAGTATGTGGGTAGCTTATATCAAAACAATACTTTGGATACATAACATTTAACAAATACATTTTATGTTTAAATGTTCAATTATGAGAAAGTCGGTGCAAGTGGTGTGTGTGTGTTAGTGTGGGGGTCAACAATGCCTTGCACTTACCACTGTCGTTGAACAGGCTCAATCAATGCAAACCTGAAGCATCTTAAAAATGTTTTTTTGGCGTTATTTACGTTTTATTTATAAATTGTTTTGTCTGCACTGATGATTGTTTGATGGAATACTTGGAATTCAGGTGTCTGTGAACTGTGAACAAGTTCAAGTCTTTATTGCTTTAAAACAAATCAGTTTTTACGTAATAACTTGAGTTTGTTTTGACCTTTTGAGACCAAACTTGTGTGACAGCTTTTAAATGTCGCTTAGATATATGGGAGCAAGGTCAATGTCATTGTTGCTGAAAAAGAAATTCATGTCAGATCTCCTTTCAAAGTTCCATTTTATTTAGTTCCGCCCATTGTTTTCTCGTTTAGGGCAAAAACATTCTTTTTTTGGGGGGACCATATGCTGCTTTTCATGGAATGTTACTACTGTGTCACATTGAAGGTTCCATGATAACCCCCGTATGAACACATCTGCGGATGTTTCTAAATTCAAAATTTTACCATTTTCGTGTTAAATGTTGAACTCTGCTTAAGCCGGTGCTAGGGGGCGTGGACGGTTACTTGCACTTTCTAGTACCGTCCATGAACAGGCTCAATCAAACTGAGCCTGCAACATTTTCAATTTTGTTGTGTTGGACATTCTTTAGGGATATAGCAAATAATATGGCATTAATCTAAGAAACCAAAATGGCTGCCTCCACAAAACTAGTGTAAAAATGTAAATTGTTATAATTTGTATTTAAATTTTCAAATTTAAAGGAAAGAGATTAAAGTTATTGGTAAATTTGAAATATGCCATTATTTCATTTTTTACATTTTTGACACACAAAATGTTCTTACACCGTCGAAAATATAAGAATCCAGGACATGTTTTGCATAGAGTTTGATTAGATTATGACCCTTTATAAACAAGAAAAATTTTAGTGCAAAATTAATTTTCAAAAAAAATGTCTAGCTAGCTATACATATTACGATGTCATTAACCATAGCTTTTAAGATAAAACATTGACAAGGATTTGACTGATGTTTTGCCCCTTTGTGACGGCATTCTCGCAATCCCTTGTTCTTGTTCGTTCGGCACTTTTATTTGGAAAAGTACTGTTTAAGATAAGAAACAAGATTAAGTCCAGAAACATAATGGTGCAGAAGATCGAAACGGGGAGCCATGAGGATCACCAATTTAAAGTTTGGTTCTCATCTTTGTTGATTTGGATTGTTTAAGAAATAATGAAGAACGGTGGGAAACGTTAGACGAATGCTTTAAGAAAATGAAAGAGCAACTCTCGTTTCCGAGCACCTTGTCGAAAATAAAGTTAATGTGACATTTGTCGCATACAATGCTCATTTTGTCGTACGTTTGAACAGGTTTCATATCAAGTTTATCTTATAAAGTAAGATCGTTTAATTGATAAGCTATTATATATGTAGAGATACAAACTATTTACATCCATAATATTTGACGTAGATCTTTATCTGTATGAATATAAATTTGTTCTGATAGCAATTGGATCAATAATAAAATATGGTTCTATGGTATGATACCTGTAAAAAAGTCGTATGATCCACCATTTAAAAAGGACCCAATAAAAGCCATACAACACACGAGCAGTAGAATGCTGAAATGAAATTCAATATGACAAATGATATCAATATATTTATATCATATAAAAACTTTAACATTAAAAGTTTAATCATTTCCAAATTATATCTCCATGATCAAAATAAATCTTCATTATTCAGGACCGATCTTAAATTTGAGTGAGGCATATTTGCCTTGTATCTGCATTGTCCTGGTTGATGGGTATAATAGTAGTTCCATCTTCTATAACTTTAATATTTCTCGTATTATCATCCTTATATTAGAGAGGACATTTGAAGCCCAGACACAGTCGCATGTTATTTTTCTGTTGATTTTTCTATGTAATCTGTGAATTGTTTCTTTTCAGTCTAAGACGGCGCAATCTAAGGCGGTGCAATCGTAATCGGTAACGTGAAAATCATTATCAGTTACGAACAACTTTACATTTATTATCATTACAAGAATGTTAATGATAAAAATACCCAGATGAATTGCCACGGATATCTTGTCAAAAATACTATGCCATTAGAGATATTACTGTTCAAATCCATGGTAGTTTCAAACGTGCTTTTTCATATGCCTGCAATGAAATAAAAATACTTTTCGATTTGATGTCATAAAGTGTACTTGTTTGTTTGTTTGGATTTTACGGCACGTCAACACATAAATGGCCATATCGTGCCGAATGCATAAAGTGTACAACAGTAAACATGTGCGCTAGTGAACTATAACTAAAGCTGTTATAATTGCATTGACAACGCCACATAGTGCTATTACGCTGTTAAACACAAAACTAAAGTTTGCAAAATGAAGCACTATTGGTAGAATTAACTAATACACTCCATCAAACAAACATCAGTGCAGACAAAACATTTTATAAATAAAACGTAGAGAACGCCAAAAAGCATTTTTAAGATGCTTCAGGTTTGCGTTGATTGAGCCTGTTCAACGACAGTGGTAAATGCAAGGCATTGTTAACCCCCCCCCCCCCCCACACACACACACACACCAACACACACACACACAACTAGAACCGACTTACGCATCATTGAACATTTAAACATAAAGTGTATTTGTTATATACTATGTGTTCAGTGATGAGGCAATCTTCAATGTGACACATTCGGGTGTCCCTTAACCGGATAATTAATGTGCAGAACTACTTAAAATGGAAATTTGAAAGGAAACCAGGGGTTAAGAAACCTGCATACAAAGACAGGCAGAAAGAAATACAAATTTAACTAGAACTATAACTTAAGAAATTCAAACCCCAACCGACCATATTATTTATTTTTAAATGAAGTTGTCTGAAATAGATAAAAACAGAATTCCTAAAGAAAGCCCAACACGGCAAAATTGAAAATGTTGCAGGCTCGGTTTGATTGAGCCTGTTCATGGACGGTACTTGAAAGTGCAAGTTACCGTCCACGCCCCCTAGCACCGGCTTAAGCAGAATTCAACATTTAAACATGAAATAGTAAAAATTAGAAACATCCGCAGATGTGTTCATACGGCGGTTATCATGGAACCTTCAATGTGACACTTCCGTGTCATTCCATGAAAAGCGGCGTATGGTCCCCAAATAAAAAGCGTGTGCCCTAAACGAGAAAACAATGAGCGGAACTAAATAAAATGGAATTTTGAAAGGGGATCAGAGGTTATGAAGCCTGCGTATCACAGATAAGACGTCAAAAGACAAAGTTAAAAAGCAGGCAACATATCATAAGGGTGATTCAACATTATTCAAGTAGGAATATTGGAACCACCCAACTAGAAAATGCCGAAAAATTGAAACTAAAAATACCAGAAGCACAACAATAATGTCGTGCTGAACGATCTTCAAGGATCGAAAATATAACATCATTGATTAAATGTACGAGGAGACTTTTTACAGCCGCCACACGGCACAAATAACACTGAAGCCTAAACACTTGAATTATAGTTAATGATGTTGCATATATGTGACAATACTAATAACAATGTCAGAAGTAAATAATTGCAATGTAAAAAGTGTAAAACATCATTCTGCTTACTATAAGTTTTGAAACTTATTAACCCATTACTGCATGAGCACTTTGTGAAAAATGGTGTTTTCATTGAAATGTTGACTGTGCCATTGCCTTTGTAACAACATGCTCAGTCTTAAATTTACTGTTACCATGACAACGAGGGGACATCACAAAAATGCCAAAATATTTGCGTTGGTTTTTGTTTCCATTAAAATTGATTTCAAAGTGCTGCAACTTAACAATGGATTGAGATAGAATAGAGTCAAAGGCTTTTCACATTGGTTACACGTTACCTTATTATTAGCCTCTAACATGTCCAAACTTTTCTGATGAGGGGGCTGCCGTCCCCTTCAAACCCCTAACAGAAGGGGGCACATCCCCCTTCTGGCAACCCCCTAATGTATTTTTGGATAGGGGGCGGTGTCGAAAAAGTGGTTACTATTTTTAAACAACATTTCTTTAACAAAAAAGAAAGTGTTGGGGGCTATGATAAGGCATTTTGTCACCATTTAAGACAATAAAAAAAGGGGGATGAAAAAGGCGTGTATATTGGGTAAGAACAAGTAGTCTTCTGAAGTCAATTTGCATTTAACAATGCTAATTCAATTCAAACTATCAGAGTTATCAAACTTGAAACACACCGTGCGTTGTGATTTTGCATTAATATTTCAAGTTAATTTATCTACCGGTTCTTGAGATATGATGAGGTGTATAATAATAAAGTTGTAGCCAGTAACCTCATAAATTGTTAAGAAAAACAATAACTGGACTGGGAGAGAAAATGTCATTTATAAATCAAGATCATTGTAAGATTAATCAATTTAAAGATCTATCCACAAGGACTGTTGTGTCTATATATGAGGAGAATTCATTAATAAATAACAAAGCTATAGCCACTTTGTCAAAAGGGAAAAGGGTAGATATCAAAGTAAAATAATATTGCATTCTAAAGCCAAATCGAATAAAGTTATTAGATTAAGTCGAACTACCTATCAGTGTTATCAAATTTTGAACACACAGTTTCAGTGTATTATTGCATTGATATTTCAAGTTCAAGTAAAAATTGGTCAACTACTTCATAAGATGGGAGGGGAAGTCGGTTACAGTACAGCACACAAAAATACTTGACTTTGAAATTAAATGTCAATTATGACTCAAGATCAATGTAATTCTTATAAACCTAAAGATTTATCCTCAAGGATTATTATTCCCCCACAAACGAAGTTTAGGGGGGGGGTATATAGGAGTCAGCTTGTCGGTCGGTCGGTTGGTCGGTCGGTCGGTCCGTCCGTCCGTCGGTCCACATCATGGTTTCCGGACGATAACTAGAGTTTGGAATGAGGTATTGTAATCAAACTTGGAATATAGCAACCTTATGTGGAAACTCCGGTTGGTATTGCATTTGGACCCCCTGGGGTAAAGGTCAAGGTCACCGTTACTAAAAATAGAAAAATGGTTTCCGGACAATAACTAGAGTTAGGAATGAGATATTGTTATCAAACTTTGCGTATAGCAAGCTTATATGAAGACCTGGGTTGTTATTGCATTTAGGCCCCCTGGGGTCAAGGTCATGGTTACTAAAAATAGAAAAATGGTTTCCGAACAATAACTTGAGTTAGGAATGAGATATTGTAATCAAACTTGGTGTATAGCAAGCTTATATGAAGACCTGGGTTTGTATTGTATTTGGACCCCCTGGGGTCAAGGTCACCGTTACTAAAAATAGAAAAATGGTTTCTGGACAATAACTAGAGTTAGAAATGAGATATTGTTATCAAACTTGGTGTATAGCAAGCTTATATGAAGACCTGGGTTGGTATTGCATTTGGACCCCCTGGGGTCAATGTCAAGGTCACCGTTACTAAAAATAGAAAAATGGTTTCCGGACAATAACTTGAGTTAGGAATGAGATATTGTAATCAAACTTGGTGTATAGCAAGCTTATATGAAGACCTGGGTTGGTACTGTTTTTGGACCCCCTGGGTTCAAGGTCAAGGTCACCGTTACTAAAAATAGAAAAATGGTTTCCGGACAATAACTAGAGTTAGGAATGAGATATTGTTATCAAACTTGGTGTATAGCAAGCTTATATGAAGACATGGGTAGGTATTGCATTTGGACCCCCTGGGGTCAAGGTCACCATTCCTAAAAATAGAAAAATGGTTTCCGGACAATAACTAGAGTTAGGAATGAGATATTGTTATCAAACTTTGTGAAAAGCAAGCTTATTTGGAGACCCCAGTTGGGATTACAATTAATGTACACAGTTGATAGTTTGTGTTGAAATTTTTCTTCAGACTACTTATTTTTCAAAAAGTTGCGGGTGGGGGTATTAATCACCTTCAGTGATAGGTCTAGTTGTGATTATTGTAAGTATGAAGAGAATTCATTCAAAAAGAACAAAGCTTTTGCCACTTTGGTACATTTTTGTGATATATTGCGTGATAAAAGAAGTACAATTATTTCAAAACTTCAATCTGATTATCATGAAGGAATATTCCAACGTATTGTTATACCCGTTATGTCCAAGTATGAATTAGCCATTTAAGTACACTGTTTGGGATATTTTCTAATAAGGGGACCGGGTATAATTTAATAGTTTAAACGAACTATAAGAGTTGTGAAACATGACCTGGGCGTGTAGGGGGGGGGGTTGTCCTGTGAACATTGTCTTTGCCTTGTTGATCTTTGTTCTATTTTTTTTGTGCAACGATCATCAGTCGTATTATGATATTGCTATGATGTGCTTAGTTTTGGTGGCGGTATAAAAGCATACAACCTACGGAGGGTGATTATGCAGGATTTCATTCGTAAAACTGGAACCACAAAAAGGGATATCAAATAAATATCGTTTTATAATCACATATGTCTTTCTAAAAGATGTTGAAATTCAGAAATATGACATCGTCGACTGAATGCACGCCTCCATACAGCAAACATCGCTAATTGAAAGAGCACCAAAAATGAAGGCAACAAACAGCGAGTCAGGCTTATCGTACAGTTGTTTTATTTCAAATTCATATTACAACCGCTATGCGTTTAGGTTTTGGGTTATATTTCTGAAGTTGTGTGGGTTTTTTGTTGTTTCTTTTTTGTTGTACTTTAATTTTATTTAATTATCATTATCTTTTTAGTTCACCAGAACCGAAGGCTCAGGGTGAGCTATTAGTATCAAAGGGGGATACTCCGGCGTCCGTCGTCATGCGTCAAACATCGTCTTCTTCTCTGAAACCGCTGGGCGGATTAACTTCAAATTTGGTCTGTAGCATCCTTGTGACAATCACACTTGAATTTGCTCAAGTTATTTCAATTGGCCCCTTTTAGGGGTCGACGGAGCTAAAAATAGAAAAACCTTCCAACATCTTCTACTACAGAACTAATCGATAGATAATCACCAAACTTTGTCTGTAGCATTCTTGTGTAGTCTTTTATCAAATTTGGTCATATTTATTTGATTGGCCCCTTTTAGGGGTCTCTAGGGCTAAAAATAGAAAAAACCGTAAGACATCTTCTTCTACAGAACTATAATGGATGGATGATCACCAAACTTTGTCTGTAGCATTCTTGGGTAGTCTTTTATAAAGTTTGCTCATATTTATTTGATTGGCCCCTTTTAGGGGCCGCTAAAGCTAAAAATAGAAATACTGGAATTATATTTGATAACAAACTTTCTTTTATACCACATATTTAACATTTGTAAACTAAATGCCTAAAAGCTTTAAATTTACTTAAGGTTTTATTAATTACAAATTGGGGATCAAATTCTTCCACATTACTGAAATTATACAGAAGTCTTATCCAATCAAAATTAGATTATGGTTCTGTAGTATATGGGTCTGCAAGAAAATCATATCTTCAAATGCTAGATACCAAACATCACCAGGGTTTACGTTAAGCTTTAAGTGCTTTTCGCACTTCGCCTGTAGAAAGTCTATATGCAGAAGCTGGGAAACCATCGCTTCATCTTCGTCGAAAAAAGCTATCACTTCAATATGCAACTACAATTTCATCTAATAGCAAAAATCCAGCTAAAAATATTATTTTCAAACCAAGTTATACTGAAAAATTTGTTAACAAACCAAAGGAAATTAAATTATTAGGCCTTCGTTTAAAAGATGATTTAGATAAACTTAAAATTAATCCAGACAGTATCCTTCAAAATGACGATGAGGAAGTTCCACCTTGTACTTATAATTCCCCGAAAATAAATATTAACCTTTCAAATATAAAAAGTCTTCAAATTCATCTGAATATTTCAAAGAGAAGTTTCTAGCAATTAAGGAAGAACATGAAGATTTTATACATATTTATACGGACGGTTCAAGAGAATGTTACAAAGTAGGTGCGGCTGTGTTTGAAAATAATTTTACATCTAGTATGAGGTTACCAGATAATGCATCAATTTTTACTGCTGAAGCAAATGCTATCGATTTAGCATTGCCATACATAGCACAGCATACCCACGATAAATTTGTGTTATTTTCTGACTCGCTTTCTGTTTTAATATCCATTAAAAATAAATAAATCTGACAATATCTTGGTAAAGAAACTTCTTTTACGATTCCATGATATACTAAAAACAAACTATGTTAAATTATATTGGATTCCAAGTCATGTAGGTATACGAGGAAATGAAAAAGTAGATGCTTTAGCTAAACAATCATTAAATTTTCAAAAAACTGACTTATTGTTACCTGCTTGTGATTTTAGACCGACTATAATTAAACTCGTATCATCTGAATGGAAAGCAAATTGGGAAAATGCCGTTTTTAACAAACTTCACTAAAATTACCCATCTCTTGATGTGTCACCATCTCTATCTCTGTCAAACCGCCGTGATCAAACAGTTCTTCTTCGATGCCGAATTGGACACACTAAAATTACCCACTCTTATCTACTCACAAATGACAATGCCCCTTTCTGTGTAGGTTGTAATGAAAATTTTACTGTCAAGCATTTTCTTCTTGAATGTCATGATTTTTCACAGGCCCGTAATAGATTTTATTCTGTAAATTCACTCAAAGAACTCTTTAATACAATTCCATCAAAAGACATAATTGATTATTTGAAAGAGATAAACTTGTATTTTAGGATCTAATTGGCTCATTTCTATTGTCATTACAAAGTTTTACATACCATTTTCAGCCTATTATAGCATTCGGCACGATATGGCCAGTTATGTGTTGACGTGCCGTAAAAATCCAAACAAACAAACAAAACAAAACCTTTAAACATCTATATCTAGAGAACTAATTGATGGATGATCACCAAACTTTGTCTGTAGCATTCTTGGGTAGTCTTTCATCAAATTTGGTCATATTAATTCGATTGGTCCCTTTTAGGGGTCTCTAGGGCTTAAAATAGAAAAAATCTATAAATGTCTTCTTCTACAGAACTAATTGATGGATGATCACCAAACTTTGTCAGTAGCATTCTTGGGTAGTCTGATATCAAGTTTGCTCATAAAAAAGGTGATTGGCCTCTTTTAGGGGCAGCTGAAGCTAAAAATAGAAATACCTTTAAACGTCTATTTCTACAGAAATAATTGATGGATGATCACCAAACTTTGTCTGTAGCATTCTTGTGTAGTCTGATATCAAGTTTGCTCATATAAATGTGATTGACCCCTTTTAGGGGCAGCTATTTAAAAGCTAAAAATAGAAATACCTTTAAACGTCTATTTCTACAGAAATATTTGGTGGATGATCACTAAACTTTGTCTGTAGCATTATTTGGTAGTCTTTTATCAATTTTGATCAGATTTATTTGATTGGCCCCTTGTAGGGGCCGCTAAAGCTAAAAATAGAAATACCTTCAAATGTCTATTTCTACAGAACTAATTGATGGATGATCACTAAACTTTGTCTGTAGCATTCTTAGGTACGCTTTTATCAAGTTTGCTCATATTAATGTGATTGGCCCCTTTTAGGGGCCACTAAAGCCAAAAACCTTTAAACATTTCCTACTAAAATAATTTATAGATGATCACCAAACTTTGTAGCATTATTAGGTAGTCTTTTATCAAGTTTGTGCATATTAATTGGATTGGCGCCGTTTAAGCTAAAGCTTAAATGCCCCAGGTCATGACATTTCTTCAAATTATTGTTTAAACATTTTCTATGGTCAAATTAAATATCAGAAAATATTGACAATGGATAATTTCCAACTCTGAAAAGCAGTCGTTTTTGGTGAGCGGCTCAGGGCCATCATGGCCCTCTGTTTTGTTTTGTTGCGTATTATCGCAATGTTTTGTAAATGTTCTCAGATTCATATTAAAGGAACTCCACAGAGATTTAAACCATAAAATTTTAATATCTCACACAGATCAACTGGTGCACCTAAAACGGAAATATATACAAAAGATAATTAAGAAATTTACCGAGAAATACACTGAAAGTTGTATGTTTGTGTTATTCTCGATCCGATTTGAGTGAAAAGCGTTTAAACGCTTTTCAATTTTAGGTCATTTTTGACAATTAAAACAATTATTTTGGAAAAACAAAGCGAGCTAATGATCTGACATTTTGCACATAAAATGTTGGTATAGACCTACATCAGATGGAGTAATAATCTTAAAAAAATTATTCGTCCCGTCGTGTCAAAAAACCTCAGTGGAGTCCCTTTAAGACAGTTAGATAAATATTAATTAATGACAAAATAATAAACTGTAACGCTCAATTTACTGACCCCATTTTCTGTTACAATAGGACTTATGCTGGATATTTCTAACGGTATTTTCGGTTGATTTCATAAAAGCAACCTCACACTCATGTTTTTTTTTTAATTAATAAAACGAGTTGGGGTAAAGTGATCGAATACTCTCGACAGGTAAAAACAAAGTTTTCAATCACTTTAATTCGCTTATTAAATGTATTCAGAATGTTAAGATTTTCTATTTATGATAAACTCTACCCTCTATTTGCAAAGATCAATAAGCATTTAATTTAAAATTGAAAGAAAACAATCTAAAGTATTTCATTACAGAACATTGTCCGTAACTTTTATCATAAAAGCAATTTTCTTTTAATAATACATACACTTATAGAACTTTGTGCAATTTAATTGACTCAGCTATGAAAGGTAAACGTTCATTGGAAAAAAAAACTTACTTTAATCCTGACTTTAACTCCGTCTACAATAACACTTTGAAGATAATGTTATGTGATTGCATGTATATCAACTTAGTTTATCAAATGTGTGTCACTTAATCACTGACACTGTTTACTACAAGAATATGTTCACCTGTTCGGAAAATGAAATTGTAAGACAGTCCATGGATTATATATCTTTCAAATGATAATCAACTTGAATGAATTTTGCAATTTTTAAAGCAGTTAGTGCCTGTTATGTAATTTTTAAGGAGATATTAAGTAGTAATGGAGGATTTCAAATATATTTCTTAAACTCGGTCATGTTTGTTAAGGCGATCTATCACCTGTAATCCAAGATTAAGGTCAAATATGTCCAAACTTGCATTATGTCAAATATAACCAGCTGTAAGATAATCAGTTGTATTTTTGAAGAGATATTCAACACACTTACTGTAAATCGAAGTGCAGTTTAAAGGCAACAATATCAAAACCATACAATGTATTATATTAATTTACATAAAAATTGTTTAACATAACCTCTTTAAGTTGAGTTTGCTTATCATTGGTAACTTTATAACATTAGAAAAAGAAACACTATAAGACCTTTGTTTAAACGTTTATATTAAGTCTTGTGAATAGTCATGAATTTATGGTACATGAATATAATCGAGTCTCTTTATTGTCAACATTTCGTGTTTTATTTGAATTCTTTCATCACTTTTATATCGGTGATGCTCATTCCAAACTAAATTGTACAGTAAAAATCTTAATATTATCAATAAAAGATGTGCCCCTTTCATTCTTGAACATTGCGCAAAAGTATTTCTTCTTAAGATAGATTACTTTTTCACAAACTTAAAAGTAAGACTATTATTATTTATCAAGTTAAATGTATTGTTGCAACCAGGCGATGTTAATCTATGGGTAGCGTATAAAAAGAACCAACGAGCAAAACTATGCCTCTTTAGTTCTGCACAATGTCGTAAAGTGTCGTAAAGTAGGAGTGTCTAAAACCAGTAAATGTTAGAGCCACATGTTATACAAGTTAAGTTTTTTCTGATGTTGAGAGTTTGGCTCTACACGGATGATTATAGGGTTATTAAATATAAGGAAAGACTTCATTTTATTGCAAAGGAAACAGGACACATTCATGGTAGAACTGTGTGTCTCTATTCAATGAAAATAGGTACATGTAGATTTATTGTAGTTGTAGCAAAATTATAAAAATAAATACCTCTTGTATACAAAACTGCGCGATGGAATTTCAAGAAAATCGCTTCGCAAAAATTTACAAAGATCTGTCGACTTTTATCGGCATGGGAATATATAATATGCCAAATGATATTTTTATCAAGAATCATTAAATTTAAAAATTTTCTATCTTGCTTAATTTATTAAATAAATAACTGTTAATATTAGGTATCAGATATTTCACTAAAATGCTACAAATATATACTTATTCATCTTATAATATGAATGAATGTTATGTACTCTAAAATTGTATTATTTTATTAACCTTAAGTTACCAGGGATTATTGTCAGAATGAGAATGGAATTTGACAAAGATTTACCCTAGACATTTCAAGTTGTGGAGACCCAGAATGACGGGGAAAAATTAATGAACCCAAGGATTGCGCACAAATAGAATACATATATGTGAGTGTTCAAAAATAAGTATTTTTCATTTCGTATACGTCTCATTTAAGGACTTTGTTAACAGACAATAAATTAGTTTCATCCTGGTCCAAAAACATTATGTTCTGTCCTTAGCTGACAGATAGATAACGAAACGACCCAAGTTGCTTTATGGATTTATTTCGTAAGAACTGGAACAAACAAGAAATACATATTAAGTAAATAAGTCTTGAGTTATTTATCATTCTGATATGTCGAGACAAAGTTATAACTAGTTGACCAGAAAAGATGTACTTAAAATTATTTAATAAAGCTACACAAAAATAATAATGTTTTACCAACTGACTAGAAAGTTAAAGGTATGAATTGAATTTTTCTATCAACAACCAATATAGTCTATAAGTCTATTCAAGTATGTAAGCAAAATATATGATCCAAAAATGTAGTAAGTAACATATTTGTTTTACATATGAAAAATGACCTACGTCATGCACTGTCTAACTTGGCTTGAAATGACTGGACAGTATGCTTCCTGTCTTAACACTCATCTCTGTAAACAAACAATTATAATTGTAACAACCTTAACATATCAAAAGGTTTTAAAGCAATACAGTGAATAATACTGCAAATATCTCAAAAGGTTCTAGTCTCAGACAAAAGGGCATGACACCTCAATTAGCATCATTACAAAATAGCCCAACGTAACACTCAACTGGTATAAAAATTACTTAAATTGTCACAAATCAACAGTTAAAACATAAATCTATTTAACCATCTTTTCTTTCACACACAATGATTTAGTGGCATATTACCCAAATGAAAATAGTGGTGCTTAACCTAACCGTACGGAATGGGAACGGCTAGCACGGCAAAAAAGCGCCTATGATTTTACACACACAACGGACTCTACATGCTTAATTAACGTGATCTTTATATGGAAAAGGAAAGAAAATATACTATAACAATCACATAATACAAAAATAGGCCATAACTTACTCGCTAACTCAAAGAGATGCGGGAAAAAATTAGATTTAATTTGCCGCAAAATAAGGCGGAGAACGTAATTTCTGCAAAGCGTGAAAACCAGTAGCAGCATCGCTAAAGTTTACACCGTTCCGGTACACATTATATTATCTAGGTCGTACACAATTCTGATGGCTCTAAAACAAACTTACCCTCCATTTATTAGTGCTGTTGACAGTTACCAAATGGGTTATCTTCCATTTTCATTTGCTCATTGGCTTGATTATCATTCTCTTCCATTAAAAAGCTGCTTAACGGTTTCTTTCACCTGTATTTGCTTCTGAATCGCTTGGTTGTATTTTTCTAAAGGGTGATGAAATATGTCCAAAATCCTTTTTGCGTCTTGTACCCTCTTTGTCGAATTTGAAAATAATGATATGCAAATAAGACCGCTATTCACACGCTATTCGCTGAATGAGGAAAGTGAACAGTGGCTGTTACTATTTGCTGTTATATCTGGTTCAAAATATTCGTTATTTTTTAGACTTTACAAAACAATGTTTAAATTCTTGTTTACTCATGTTTTGATGCTGTATCCCACATCCGCACACAAACTTGACTGTGATAAATTGTTTAGAACTTGCTTAGCGATGCAGTGTATTTTGCCGTTGACCTGAAAAAGTCACTGTAAGATTTTGAAACATTCACAAAACACATAACACTTGTCTGGTTCTGCGAGATACATTAAATAAATTGCTTTTTACGGTGCGGAGCAGCCAAATATCTTGATAACGCTGAGTGCAAAGTTTTAAAGATTATTTCCCAAAATACACAACTTGACTTGATCATTCCAGTAACGTTTGGGTGACAATACATAAGAAGTTATTAAGGATTATCCTGAAAAGGTTTGTTGACAGACGGAAAACGGACACTCGTTCTAACGTTTAGGTTTTATTTGAATATTGTATTGTTCTAAAAAGCCACAAAAAACCAATAATCCACATTAAACTTTAATGAATAGGATCAAAATAAGAATCGTGTCTATTGTTCACATAGCTACATTAACTCGTAATGTAAGCGCCGACGGATGAACAAACAGACGGACGGACAGACGACGAAGAAGTGATCCATATATAACACAAAATGCATGTAATCATGATCAGTGTCGTTTGCATGCACAGAATTATAGTTCCGTTTAATATTATAATCACCGATGACAAGTACCGAGGGAGTTCTTTTCTAATGTTTAATCACGCCCCTCATCTGCTGTAATGATGATAATTAATGAGCATTTATAACTGGTTTGTTTTCGTCTTGAACTGTAAAAATTCTTTCCTGCATATTCGATTCATCATAAATGCACCTGTGTATAAACAAATAATTCTCGATTGTATAAATGGAAATGTAGGACGCGGTAAAGGAAATGCAAGCGAATTGAATTTCCGAAGTAACTGTGTCTTTGTACCGCCACAAAAGAAAATCAAACCATATAAAAACAAGAGCGATCAGTAATCACATGTGTCGCCTCATGATAGCCAATTTCATATTGGGACAAAGTTTGTTACAGACGGACAGATAGACGGACAGTGCACAACTAGACTTGGTACTGATCATTCCTGTAAAATTGCACCAGTAGTTTATGAGGAGTAGTCCGGACAAGCTTTTGCGTATCTGGCAACACACAGAAAAAAACACCTTTTTATCAAAGGGCCATAACTCGGCAAAAAATCATTCAACCGGAAAACCCATGCAATATGCGCAAGGACTTGAGCTACAGATCAATCCTGTAAAGTTTCATTGAAATTGCTTTAGTGGTATAAGAGAAGTAGTCCGGACAACCTTTGAAAAAAAAATTATTAAAGGGCAATAACTCTGACAAAAATCATTGAACCGGAAAATGCTGATATTTTGCACAACTAGACTTGGTACTGATCATTCCTGTAAAGTGTGGATGAAATTGCACCAGTAGTTTATGAGGAGTAGTCCGGACAAGCTTTTGTGTATCTGGCAACACACAGAAAAAACACCTTTTTATCAAAGGGCCATAACTCTGCCAAAAGTCATTCAACCGGAAAACCCTTGCAATATGCGCAAGGACTTGAGCTACAGATCAATCCTGTAAATTTTCATTGAAATTGCATAAGTGGTATAAGAGAAGTAGTCCGGACAAACTTTAAAATTAAAAATTATTAAAGGGCCATAACTCTGCCAAAAATCATTGAATCGGAACATGCTGACAATATGCACAACTAGACTTGGTACTGATCATTCCTGTAAAGTTTGGATGAAATTGCACCAGTAGTCTATGAGGAGTAGTCCGGACAAGTTTTGTGACGGACAGACAGACGGACAGACAGACGACGGAGAAGTGATCCCTATATGTCGCCACTACTCCGTAGAGGCGACACAAAAATAAATACATCCTGTCCTCCCTCAGAGCAGAAACGTCAATAATATCGTCAACGACCCTTTCACCTAAACGGGATATAGACTAAATAGGAGGAAAGTGTGTGGTTATTATAATCTGCGACAAGAC